GCCAGCACACCAGACATATGTGGACAGGCACCATAGGAAGCAATGTCATTTCTCATGTCATGCAGATCGGATGCCATTCAAACCGCACATATGTGAACTGGCACTGAAACAGTGAAAGAGCTCCCTCTGTGATGGGGACAGGAACAGCTAGGTTTGTCTTAGCAACACCCTCGAAGTCTTCCAGTCAGGCTTCAGGAGGTACATAAATGGCCTACACCTATAGCAAGTGCATTACTCAACTTTAGTCCGAGCTGCCCTGTTTCTATTTCTAGGCGTCCCTTATCTACATAGGCAGCTTTTGATGAAGGTGAACTAACCCTCTAAACACACTGAACTTGTCTAGGACCGTGTCCGGCCATGACATGAAGAGTTGCCAGCAGTAGCAAAGTGTGAAGGCGGCAGGGACAGGTCCTGTGACACTGAGGAGGAGGCAGAGTACTGGGGTCTCTCCACACTACAACTCCCCATCCCCTCTCTCCTCCATTCCATTATTATCCCCTTCTCCCTTCGCAGCACGCCGGCTTGTTGGCGCGCAGACTCACCTCTATCGCTTGCCGCCCGCTGGCTACCCTGAAGACGGCCTTTACGACAGCCGTGAGTGAGGGAGTCCGCGAGGGAAAATAATAAGCGAGAACCGCCGACAAGGCCTGTCCAGCTGAGGAAGCCGCCACAAACCAGCAGCACAGGAGACACGGGAGGGCTGCTCTTTTGAGTAAACCGCTCCGATAAGGAAGTCTCGGAAATTTCCTTTGTGCGTTTGTTCGCCTGTTTGTTAATAAAGTTGCAGTTGAAAAAAAGGGAAATGCCTCCGCTGGGAGTGTTCTTTGTCTCCGCGGATGAGTGCCCTCGGAGAGAGCTGGAGCTGATCACGTGATTTGGCCCCAGAACCCTTTGCAGGCATTTTTGACACGGTCAAAGAAAATAGGAAATTTTAATCCAGCGCACGAAACACAGCATATTCTGCCAGAAATATGTTTTTTCCTGAACCTATTTTGCTGCCGTTCTCTTTTGATGTTTTATGTGTTTCCCTGTCGATCGCATGAATTAAAGATGCCCTTAGTTAAGATGGCCACCTACGAAGCTATTTTCTTTGTTGCCGGCAGGGGGCCTGAGGTTCCCCGAGCACGATCTCATGCGGTGTGCTGCTGCTGAGGGAGAAAGTTTGCAGAAGCTGGTTGTGCATCTTAGACAAAAGGAGTCATGTCTACAGGACTAGACCTGGAAGGTGAAGGTGTATCGTCTTGTGGCTGCATGTCCTCAATGTAGATGTAGTGCTCTCATTTACTAACCACCACTTTCATTTCCTCTCTCCCTGCCTTTGTAAACATTTCAAGATGAAAACTTTTTTGGAACTTTATGTTCACAAAATCAAAAGCGCATCTTGCATAATAAAAAAAAAAATTGTTTTATTTCGCTGATAGATGTAAAGAGTAAAAAGGCAAATAGTATTTATTGAATATATGTATTTTGATTCAATCTATCTTAATTCTATAGAAATTGTATGGTGATGAATTCATGTTTGTAATTACCTGAATTCAAGTATATCTACAGGCAGAAACTTTGTCTGTGTCCCCTTAGAGAGGTTAGCAAGGAAAAATGTCACCAGCACACTGAGGATCACCAATATGGGTCCAAAGGTTTTAATGAACGATCACATAGTTATCACATGCCTGATGAAGGGGTCCTGCGAGACTCCGAAACGTTGCTTTGCTGTAACTATGTGATTGTTCATTGAAACCTTTGGACCCATATTGGTGATCCTCAGTGTGCTGGTGACATTCTCCCTTGCTGATTTTGTTTGGTTCCAGCCGACAGTCGCTACAGCACCCACTTATACACACAGCCATGTTTAACGCAGGAACGTGTGCCTTTGGATTGTACACTTCCCTTAGAGAGATTGCCCCTGACTTCCTGTACTGCACACCCCACAGGAAGTGATCGGAAATCTCCCTAAAGTAAGGGAAAAGTCTTAGACAGTTGTCACAAGAACAAGGGTCCCCAATGGAAAATTTCACTCTTCCTGTTCTGACAATTCAAAATTTTGTCTCGGTGATAGAAGTCACTAGGACAGGTCGAGAGAGACACCGGAAAGATTGTACTAAGACTGGAACAGCCAGAACCTGGAGCAACTGTGTATGGCTTCTATTCAGCTTCTATTCTTCATTTTTAATCACCTGCCCTCCAGAGGATTTACACCCCCCCCCCCCCCTTCCTGACCAGGCAATTTTTTGCAATATGGTGCTGCGCGTACTTAAATTGACAATTAGGCAGTCTTGTAACACTGCACCCAAATGAAATTTATGTCCTTTTTTCCCATAAATGGAGCTTTCTTTAAGTGGTATTTGATCACCTCTGCGGTTTTTATTTTTTGTGCTATAAACAAGAAGAGACTGACAATTTTGAAAAAAAACCAAAACAATATTTTTTACTTTTTGCTATAAATTATATCCAGTATAAAAATTTAAAAAATAATCATAAATTCAAGCCAAAATGTATTCTGCTACATGTCTTTGCTAAAAAAAAAAATCCTAATCCATGTAAATTTAATTAGTTTATGTGAAAGTTATAGTGTCTACAAATGGCACTATAGATACTGGAATTTTTTTTATTTTTTTATTATATATATATACTAGTAATGGCGGCGATCAGCGACTTTTTAGCGGGACTGCGGAGGGCATTCTGACACTGGGGGTTGAACTGACTAACTGCCACTGACATCCCTACTGACAATAATACAGTGATCAGTGCTAATAAAAAGCACTGACACTGTATTAATGACACTGAGCAGGAAGGGATTAACATCTGGGGTAATCAAAGGGTTAACTGTGTGCTGTTTTACTATTTTGTCTGTGTGTGCTTTACTGTGTAAGCAGGCTGCTTTGTATTGCTCTGCTATGCAGAGCAATACAAAGCAGCGTGCTGGCACTGACAGGGGAGAGATCTCTATTGTTTACACACAGACCTCTCCTCTGTCACTGTTCCTCAGCGATCTCCAGGTGCTGCCGGGCAATCTCTGGCCAAGACCCGGTGATCGACAGCTGAGGCCGCCAATGGCAGTACTGGTAGGGAGGCGCATGCGCCCCCTACCCGGAAATACAAAATCACATATAAATATATGATTTTGAGCAGCCCTGCCGCCCTGTAGCAGTACTTCTGCTGTAGGGTGGTCGGGAAGCGGTTAAAGTTTTACTGGACAAACCAAAAATAGAAGCTGACTGGTATGCACAGCTGCTCCAGATTCTGTCAGCTCCAGTTGTAGTAAATTCCTCTAATAGAGAGAGCACATTTCCACTAAGGGGACACAGACCGCAATAAAATCTGACTGGTTTTCTAACCCTCTCCTGCTTTATATGAAACAAAACATTTTGGCTTTGCATATGTATTAAAGAGATAGTAAAGTCTATAAAAAAAACAATTTCCCCCTGCAAGGTAATATGTGTTGGTATGCATCGCAGCACAATATGAAGTACCTACCTTAAAACAAATCCCTCCAGCGGCTCCCTGTCACCGCTTCCATCTTCACCCGGTCTTCCTTCCGGGTTCAAGGGCTCCGGCCATCTGACTGGCTGAGCCGCAATGACGTCACTCCTGTGCAATCACGCGGGAGCCCTGGGCACAGCACACAGCTCTGAAGGAATGGCATGGGTATGCCGTTCCTTCAGAGCGCATGCGCCAGTGATGTCTGCGGCTGCTCCTCTCTGGAATATTTACTAAAAAGGTGCACGTTTAGGAGATATTCATTTTACATACAGGTAAGCTTACCTGCAGGTAAAAGTCAAAGAACGCACTTTACTACCACTTTAAAGAAAATCCGTCTTGTCTTAGGGCCCGTTCACACTACATGCGTTTCAGTGTGTTTTCTTTCTGCATCCAAAATGCACAGAACGTAGGTTATACAGTTGTCAATGTCATAGTTCACATCAGTGCTTGCAGTTCCAGTGCGTTCCAGATGCAGAAAAAAAAAAGTAGAACATGCTGCATTTTTCCTGCACATATCTGTACTAAAACACATCAAAAACGCACCTGAATGCACATGTCCCTATTAAAATTGAACAAAAAGATGGGAAAAAATTAACTGGAATGCATCCAAAATGCACCAGAACGTGCCAAAAACATGCATCCAGAACACATCTGGACTGCATTTCTATAGTGTTAACTGGCCCTTACACCACAGTCACATCAAGCCCAACTTTGAAATTGTGCGACTTACAGTGAAGTCGCATGATTTCAAAGTGGGGTGAGATGCCAATTTTAGGTGTGATTTCCAAGACATCTGACACAGATGTCTATGCAAATCGCACCAAAAGTAGTGCATGTGCTACTTTAGAGATCGGAACCGCACTGATATGACCGCTCTAATTGAGGACCGTAGGGTGCGACTTGGCATGCGATTTGCTAGTCGCATAGCATGCAAATCTCATGCCAAGTTGCACCTGATGTGACCGGGGTATTAACCACTAGCCTACAGGGCACTTATACCCCCTTCCTGCCCAGGCCAATTTCCAGCTTTCAGCGCTGTCACATTTTGAATGCCAATTGCGCGGTCATGCAACACTGTACCCATATGAACTTTTTATCATTTTTTTGAGACAGATAGAGCTTTCTTTTGGTGGTATTTAATCACCTCTGGGATTTTTATTTTTTTTTAAACCAAAAACCACAGAAAATTTTGAAAAAAAAAGTTTTTTCTTAGTTTTTGTTATACAATTTTGTAAATAAGTTATTTTTCTCCTTCACTGATGTGCGCTAATGAGGCTGCAGTGATGGGCACTGATAGGCTGCACTGATGGACACTGAAAGGGTGGCACTGATGGACACTGATGAGGAGGCACTGGTAGGTTGCACTGATGGGCATTGACAGGCATCACTGATGGGCACTGAAAGGCAACATTGATACATGACGCTGATATATGGCACTGATAGGTGGCACTGACTGGCACTGACTGATGATAGGCGGCACTGACTGGCACTGATGCGCACTGATAGGCGACACTGACCGGCACTGATTGGCAGCACTGATAGGTGGCACTGATTGGCATTGATAGGTGGCACTGACTGGCACTGATGGGTGACATTGAAAGGCAGCTCAGATGGGCACTATGTGGCATTGATGTGCACTGGTATGCACTGGCACGTGGCACTGATGGGCACTGGCACGTGGCACTGATGGGCACTGGCACGTGGCACTGATGGGCACTGACAGGTGGCACTTCTGGGGCCACACTGATCATCAGTGCCCTGATGATCAGTGTACATGTCCCCTCCGTGGAAAGCCATTTACCGGCTCTCTTCTCCTCTCAAGCTGTCAGCGTGACAGCTCGAGAGGAGAGAAATGCCGATAACCCGACATTTCCGTGTTTACATGTGATCAGCTGTAATTGGACACAGCCGATCACATGACCAAACCGACATCTTTGGCTCTTTCCTTGATCCGCTGTCCGAGGGACACAGCGCCGCGCTGCGTGCTCCCTGAGCCGCGCATGCGCAGTGAGAATGGTAGGACGTCATATGACATACTATCAGAACAAGAGAACCACCTTGCGCCCATCATTGTACTATAGGGCGGGCGGAAGGTGGTTAAAGTAGAACTATAGGCAAAACATTTTCTTTTCCATTTTGGATAGAATAAGGGAGGGTTATAACCCCCTATCAGTTGCAATCTCTGTCCCATTGGGGAGGTTTGTCTTCGCTTCCTGTTCCCTAGCCAAAACAGTTAGCGTGGGGGTTTGGAGGACAGAGCAGGCAGCAGCAGTGAGAACACAGTGATCAGTGGTCATGTGATCACGGAGTTGTCACACTTAGAGTTGGAGGGTGACAGATGCAGCGTCGGACCGATGCTTCATTCACCTAGGTAAGTATGATTTTGGAGAAAAAAAAAAAAAAAGCCATCCCGTACTCCTCTTATTTTTATAAACATACACTGCTTTAAAATGCAGAGAGCACAGTGTGTATCTTTTTCTTTCTTTTTTTTTTTTTTGTTGTTGTACCACAACATTTGAAACAGATCTGAATCCTGATTGCACATAAGACCTCATGCACACAGGGTGTATGCCCATCTCTCCTAAGTGCTGTTTTTGCTATCGGCAACATTATAGTAGAACAACCTCCTGATTGATACATGTAATAAAAACCACTGCCAGTGCATCCAGGAGCAGCAGTGTATTGGCAGGAAAAGCCCTTGACGTGTAGATGCTAGGCACATCAAGCACTTCGGCATTAATTCATTTGATTGGCCATAATAAATATTTTATTATGTTATTATGGCCAATCCTCCCAAACCTCTTGTATTGAACTGTATCGTTGCTGTATTGTCTCCGTTATATTGTAAAGCGCTGAGCAAACTGTTGGCGCTATATAAATCCTGTATAATAATAATAATTATTATTATTATGTTTTAGCTGCCAGCTATAGAAAGGCTGCTGTGTATGCTGCATAAAGCAGCAGCATTATATTGTTGGCTACCAACATAATTTTATCCTCTACAAAAATCAATTGCATTGTAATATGCCCCTTCACCAGATATAGATGCTTTCGTTATTTTCATTCTCCAAAGGCACCAATGTAATTCTTAAATTATGCTCAAGCTGCACACACTGAATGCAGAGCAGGCACTTGTACTATATAGCCCCACAGGATAAGTTCACCTTTTGTAAAATGTCACTGAAGAGGGGTGAACCCCTAAATAGGGGTGTAACTTGTAGCGCGTTACGAACAGACCAGCCCCCGCTTTCCTCCCGATCCCCATTGTGACAGCTAGCAAGGTATCATCTCCTCCCGCTAGTTGTCACAATTTTTTAAAAATACCCGCCTGGCCGCGTCACTCATTTACACTGTTCTGTGAATGAATTAACTACAAGTCCTGACATCCTTTGCTGCTGTCAGCTTGTATTTCTCAGTGAACTACCACGGTGCTGTGGAGTGCCTTGGTCATTCATTGAGTCTTCCTGGATGTACAAGCACACAGATTCAGTGACAGGTCTGGAGGAGACCTGCATGGCACTAGCGGTCTACTGATCACTGGTGCAATGCTTTAGAAGCTTTGGAAACAAAAAATAATAAATGCACATTTTTTTAACCTGCAAAAAAATGTGCATTTATTTGTTTTTGCTAAAAGGTGAACTTATCCTTTAAAGAATTCCAGATATGGTCTTAGATTGTAAGCTTTAATGAGCAGGGCCCTCTGATTCCTCTTGTACCAAATTGTATTGTAACTGTAATGTCTGCCTTTATTTTGTAAAGTGCTGCGCAAACTGTTGTCTCTCTATATAAATCCTGTATAATGATAATAATAATAATAATCTGGCATTTATTTACATAGTTACATTGGTCCAGAGGTACGCCTTGGTTTTGCTTTGGTTTCTCAGTGCATCACCACCACCTAAAGGTGAACTGTGATATTGCGACTTCTATCTTCATATGTTACAGCAATGCAAATATGCTACTATGTCATTCTTTATGTCTAACTTTAATGTATTTACAAAATGTAAACAACAGCAGATATGTTTATTTTGGGGGAACCAATTAAGCAGAAGCAAGAATATCAGAAGTATCCACTGGCAAACAAACACTTAATACTCAGACGAAATATATATTTACGGAACTGTTTAATCTGCCAAAGGCTTTGTGTTCCAGTCCAATCCGTTCTGAGTCTAGTTCCAGCATAAACAGGTAGAAAACTCCATTTGCAGCTAAGGAATATAATGTTAAAAAAACAGGTTTGCGCTCATATTAACAACCTAATTATAAATATATCCACAATATATAATCATATTAATAGCAAAAAATAATTAATAGTGTCCAAATAAAATTGTGAAAAAAATATATTTGTGCAAAAAGTCCAAACAGCAAGAAAAACGATCTTTTTCTTTGTGTCATAACCGATTTTCAATCTCAAAATAATTTTCTCTGTGTCAAACCAAATTCACCGTGCAAATAATCCACCACCAGATAAATTAGATGAACTCACCAGAGCAATATGCTGATCAAGTTATAAATCAGCAGAAGTGCTTTGTGCTCTGGGAGCAATACTCTGCAGGAGAATAATCAGCAATATGGAGTAATTCCGTATGGCCCCCGCCTCTTCATAGGCTCAAAATGGTACTCAGAAATTAAGAGAGGAAAAGCTCATAATGCAGTATCGTTATAGCTGACAGTGTCCGTGGATGCCGGAGAAGGCTGGGTTTGTTTTTATACTGAGAGCGTTGTTTTGTGCTGGTGTCAGCTTAAACACCGATTATTGTGAGTGCAATGATTTATTTTAAATAAAATATTTGTTTTTAACAATACTGCACTATGAGCTTTTCCTCTCTTAATTTCTGAGTACCATTCTGAGCCTATGAAGAGGCGGTGGCCATATGGAATTACTCCATATTGCTGATTATTCTCCTGCAGGGTATTGCTCCCAGAGCACAAAGTGCTTATGCTGATTTATAACTTGATCAGCATATTGCTCTGGTGAGTTCATCTAATTTATCTGGTGAAAATCGGTTATGACACAAAGAAAAAGATCGTCTTTATTGGTGTTTTGGCCTTTTTTTTTTGCACATATATATTTTTTTTCACAATTTATTTGGACACTATTCATTATTTTTTGCTATTAATATGATTATATATTGTGGATATATTTATAATTGGGTTGTTAATATGATCAAGTTATAAAGTTATTTATAACTTGATCAGCATATTGCTCTGGTGAGTTCATCTAATTTATCTGGTGAAAATCGGTTATGACACAAAGAAAAAGATCGTCTTTATTGGTGTTTGGCCTTTTTTTTTTGCACATATATATTTTTTTCACAATTTATTTGGACACTATTCATTATTTTTTGCTATTAATATGATTATATATTGTGGATATATTTATAATTGGGTTGTTAATATGAGCGCAAACCTGTTTTTTTTACTGATATATACACTTTTCAAGGTTAGGTTGGCAGCTTATTTTTCACAGTAGTGTTTAGCTTAATTTTTGTGGCACTGTCCATATTTTTTGAACAGAAATATAATGGTGTTCTCTCTCCACCCCCAGCCTTCTAACTGGAAGCTGAAAGATCAGCTACAGATTGAAAAGGTCATCTCTCTGCTCAGTTTCCTCTGCTCCTGTCAGCATGTCGTTTGTCAACACATTTGCATGCAGCACATCTGTTTAGCTCCTAAGCATTCTCACTTCTTCCATTTCAAAGGGCTGCTGTATAGAGCATTACAGTTATAAGTTATATTGAGGTAATTACACTGGTCATATTAAAAAAAAAAAAAAAAGATTAAGGATGTATTAGTTAATTCAATCATTTGTGTCTATTATATTTGCCTAGAGATTAGCATTTAAAGTGTATTTTTGGGTACATTATTTTTTTACATTTTGGGTAGAGTGTAGAAATTTTAGACTCTTTTTATTGCTCTCTGTGTCCCCATTGGGAGATTGACTGACCCTCTACTTGTACTGTGACCATTTTCCTCGAGAAGAAAAAAAGGGGAAATCCAAAATTTTAGAGTAGTCCCCAGACCCAAAATTAATGGGAAATCTTCCAATGAGGACACCTGTTCAGAGTACAGCTGTCGATTCTCTCTCTTAGGGAAATTTTCTCTCCCATCATGTTGTATCCCTGGTCACAGAGCTTCTCCATAGCACATAGTTTATGCTCAGGCTCTTCTTCCCAACACGTTTCGTCACTCCAGACTTTTTCAAGAAATCGAGAATGATGAAACATATTGGGAACAGAAACCTGAGTACATACCAAAGGAAATCATCAAATGCTGGGAAGAAGTGCTGTGACTGAATAACATCACAGCTGGTGAGTGAGGGATGCAGGAGAATTTCTAACATATACAGTCAGGTCCATAAATATTGGGACATCGACACAATTCTAACATTTTTGGCTCTATACACCATCACGATGGATTTGAAATGAAACAAACAAGATGTGCTTTAACTGCAGAGGGTCAGCTTTAATTTGAGGGTATTTACATCCAAATCAGGTGAACAGTGTAGGAATTACAACAGTTTGCATATGTGCCTCCCACTTATTAAGGAACCAAAAGTAATGGGACAGAATAATAATCATAAATCAAACTTTCACTTTTTAATACTTGGTTGCAAATCCTTTGCAGTCAATTACAGCCTGAAGTCTGGAACGCATAGACATCACCAGACGCTGGGTTTCATCCCTGGTGATGCTCTGCCAGGCCTCTACTGCAACTGTCTTCAGTTCCTGCTTGTTCTTGGGGCATTTTCCCTTCAGTTTTGTCTTCAGCAAGTGAAATGCATGCTCAAGTGAAATGCATGCTCAATCGGATTCAGGTCAGGTGATTGACTTGGCCATTGCATAACATTCCACTTC